ATCTCCAGTCGCGGCCTGACTGGAGAACACCTTTGGAATTCACGTCGCCTCCAAACAGCTGCGAAACTTCTTGAATGAAGTCATCCACAGATAGCTACCTGAAGGTCAGTACTCTTGACCTGCAAGACCTCCCACATCGACCAGCTACGGCAACGTCGCTACGGTCTAGGACATCATCTTCACCGTATTCGCCGAGGCGCGAGTTGATGGTATGGACCGGGGTACCTGGAAAGGGGAAGACCGATATTTTCTTTGTAGACCCCGACTGAAGGTGAGCGCTGGCGGTTACATCAAGTAACTCGAGAAGAATATCCTCCCTACATGTGGTCGCCCGCCTTCTTGGAGACCTTGTGCTGCTACAGATTTGGGTGCCACCACATGGAATCAAAGGGTTTTGGAAAAACTCCCGCCTACTTGGAATGGAAGGGGGCTGAATACCTAAAGAAGGTAGAATATCCAAGTAGGTCACCTGACCTGTATCCCCTCAATTACCCGGTTCGGGCGGAGTTCAATAGGGTGGTCTACGGTGGCGGAGAAATCAACGATCTCGCTCAACTCCGGTACCCACTCACTTCCACTCACTTTCGCGCGGCCGAATCTCTCGATGGCGCTCCTCCAGAAGGCTGTGGCGGAGTATCATTATAGTATTTAATGTGCTCTTTAATATGGTAGTAAAAATGTCCGATAAAAATTTAATAAAGTGTAACTTATAGCGCCTTGAAAGTCATGGAGGCAAAATGACTTTTTTTTGGCCCCCCTGTATTGTGTTATAGATATACATCAGTACACTGGTACACTGAGCCTCTGGCTACACATTTTAGTGTGTTTTTGCGGAATTTAAATGTATTTGTCAAAATTCTCGCCCTTACAGGCCGTAACAGGTGGCTCCGCCCAAGTTGAAGCCCTGCCCACTTTCAAAAATGATTCAAATCGGCTGGCTAGAGTCTAAACTGACAAGTTCCCTCCACAGAACGAAATTCCTGGCTTTTCTCCGTTCCGGGTGAAGGGGAGACATAACTTGTCAGTTCAGGTTCTAGCCTGCCGATTTGGACCATCTTTAGAAAGCGGGCCGGGTTCCTACAAGGTGAGCTTCTGAAATGGGTGGAGCCGCCTTCTGCGATTGAAAAGGCGAAGTTTTTGAAGAAAAGATCCCTGCAAAAGAAGGAAAAGTGGGCGTGGCCAGAGGGATTAGGCTTCGTTTGCCAACAGATGCATATCTATAAGAGCATTCGTTTTGTGAAGGATGAGCGTGAAAAGAAGGTACAAAATGCAAAATTTGCGATATTTTCATTAAAGTGTGTGTGGAGTCGAATCCGTGTTTCACTTGTGGAGCGTTGCTATACAGTGCAAAAAGTCGGAGGAACAGAGTATAAAATGAATTCTGAAAAACCACAACCGCGCAGAGAAGTGGGCGGGAGCGCTGGGGCGGGGACTGCGGCAACATCTGATGTGATCTTGTCACTCATCTGCCCAGCGTAAGGGATTTGTCCGATTTGATTCGGAACGTGTCGGATTTGATTTGAAAAGTGTCTGATTTGGTCCGAGAAGTGTCTGATTAGTCTGTCTGTCTGTATGTCTGTTCGAAAAGTGTCTATTCGGAATGTATATGAATATGTACAAGAGACAGTACAGTAGGTTTCATTTGCTACTGCTGACTATATTCAGAAGAGCATGCGGATTCACGAATGGAACCCTGTGACTACCTTTTCATGTTGTTGCAGGAGTTGATCGCTAAGTTTGAAGGTTGATTAGACGCGCACACGTTTGGTCCTCTGAAGAAACGCTAACTCCTCTGAGCATATGTCCTTTACCGTCAGGATTTGACGGCGCTCTCTAAGCATTCGAGAAAGGATTCTTCAGCGTTACGCAACAGTGTTGTGCAACATCAGAAGGGTCATAGTTGACACTGAAAGTCGTTCCAGGCTGTGAGAAATTTTTGAGAGGCAAAGTTGGTTTTTTGTAGCTTTAGGTGGTTTGGACTCGGGCAGAGAATATTGTTACTACTTGAAATTTTGTACAAATAATAATGCAAATAATACTACGAAAATTTTTGTCAGTCTTCACCCGTTCAACTCAGAATAATCTCACTTATTGCTTTTTGGGAAAGTTGGTTTCTATGAGGCTGGTAAGTACTGTAACCTGCTCTGAAAAACCCAGTTCGCTACTTTAACTAAGAGTGTGGAGAGACGATTAACGTCTTCATGCTTTAACACAGATTTATTTGCGAAAACATGTCTAAATGAACTTAGTATCCCTAATATTGCACCCCCATATCACATGAACGTTGATCAGTTGATCGAGACCTGCCGGAAATACACGATTTGTTTTAAATTACTATAAAGCACAACGATACGGATACGATTTCAAGTGAAAACATGGCTTCCATAGCTGATTCGGTCACAGTGTTCATACGAGATCAAAGTTCGGCTTTCGGAGAATCTTCATCATCCTTGTCGTCTTCTTCTTTTTGAGCTGAAAGTAATGACACTGTTTCTAATTATGATAAACATAGCTATTTCATCTTTTTGTTCTTCCCAAACGAGACAGATCATTTCGCGGCGGAAAGGGCAGGGCATTTTACACTTCCGCTACTTCGCGTTGTCCACTACAAAAAAATTGACAGGTATTCTCCACAGGAGTTGACAAGTTCTTTTTATGAGCTTTGACTGGTATATCCATGGCTCCACCAAATTTCATAGATTCTACTTGACGCCTCCACACAACAATGTGAAGTTGCGTAAGTACAATATGCTCCACGTAGGCGAACTGCGCACTGCTTCCTGGGCTGCAAAAGTCATAAAATCAGTTCAGCAGCGCTGACAATCTTGCGCCGACATCTCAGGGATTAACCAAACATTACTGACCTGTTGGACAGTTCTATTATGTAAAAGCTATTATTAAGCTGATCATATGCGACTGGTTTCATAACCGTAAGGATCCGTAACAGTACTGTCGTTTTTGCTATATGAAATTCAAACAGATAAAGTCACACCCATGTTTTTATTTTCAGTTCGTGATGTGACCTCAACACTTTCTGCAACCTTTAGCGACGTAGTGGGCAAAGTTTCAACAAAGAATCGACAGAAACCAACAGCTTTCTCATGATCAGAAAAACATGTGGGTATGGAAATTTGGACACAATTACGTCAGGAGGGGGCATTTTCTTGATGATACCTTTCTGTCATTGCCGATCCCTCCTCTGGAAACTTGCAAACTAATGAAGTTATGCAATGCTATGAGTTTCGTTCATACATGGCAAGATTATACTGGAAGGGCTCAGACGTGTGAAATATAGGAAATGGTAAAAAGGATTAGCGCGCGCTAGCAACATGCAATGCCCTCCTATTCCATAACCGTAAGTACGCGAATTGAATAACAACCGAACTCCAAATTTTTTGTTGCTTAGAAAACGGTGTAGCGATCGGGAAGAATGTTATTCAACGAGGTGGTCCAGGCAATGCGGACTTGCATCATGGTGTTGTAGAAATCCCACTCTGTTGACATCACTGGCCATTTTCCAATTGAAGGTTGACGCATTTGATCCAGTGGTTCCCAATAAAGCCTGCATCCTTAGTTTGTTGAAATTAGAAAACTTAAAAAAATGAAATGGCGGTAATACGACGAAACATTGCATTGATTTAAGTGCATCATTGTGAAATGATGTAGCACCGGAACTGGTCTTACATTTTGAGACGGGTTGCCTTTGGTTGCATTTTGCCTTTTTCGAAAAAGGACAGGAATTCAAGGAAAGCGCGAGCTGTCATCAAAAGTGAACACGCTAACAACCCTTACAAAGAGCACGAGATCATCTTATCGACCCGGCAGACAAAGAAAGGCATGGTAATATCATGGAAGTCGTGGCAGTGTGAGGTACCGTAGTTTGTACAATTTTGGGCTTCCCGAGTCACACGTTCCTAGCGCCTTTACCTCCCACTTTCAGCTGGCGAAAAGGTAAACACTTGCGAGTGCATACCTACCAGATGCCGCGGGGGCAGCACTTATCACTCGATTGCGGTACTTCTCTACCCACAGAAGACAGTATTTCAAGTGACCGCTGGAACGAAAACACGGAACGGCCCTAAATAGCAGAACATCTGGTCCCTGCACGCCAGCTTTCTTTGAATAGTACAGGATTATTCCTGTCTTGCAGCATGCCTCATAGAAAAATACGGAATTATACATTTAAGTCCTGGAACCTATCGTAGAGGGTCATGTGGAAGTAAAAGATCCACAGTGTTGGTTCCGCTTCGACATGACATGCAATGGTTTCAAAACCAGTTCGACTCAGGGCTGCCCGATAGACTCGCCCGTTTGAGTGGTCTTTCGTCTTTTCACAGAGGATTTATGCTTAAATATCACCATTCTTTGCGGTTTGGGCTATGCTTTCATCTGAGTTCTTCACGGAGCTAGATATAGCTATAGTCTTCAGAAAAAGCTGGACCCCGAAACACAAATATCAGTCATCGATTTCTAGCTATGGGAGATCCTGACTAGAGCCTTGGAGAAAAAAAATTGAAAACTGCTTTGAAGCGACCATTCCTTTTGTGGGATGCGGCATGCATTCCACTATTCAGGATTGTAGTGCCTTAGTGAGGGCGATGTGGCTTATACAATGACTTGCAGAGGCCAGCCGATGCCTACTTCAGTGTTGTTATCCTCAGAGACGGAAGTGGTACCAATTTAGCGTCCTTGGAGGGTAGAAGGCTTTAACGTGGGCGAGTCGACTCGAGATTTGACCCAGGATCGCGAAAGTTGTAAGCGCGCCACTTGTCACTACACCACCGCCGCCTCGGAAATGGGATTATATAGGGTTCAATAATGCATAAGAAATGCCATGGAACAGAAACGAAATAAATCTAGACTATTCGCTACTCTACTGAATGATCAACTGCAGCTCAAATAACACCCAATAACACAAATCTTCATTAGCCACTGAGCTACAATACGAATACCCATAAGAATCCAATAAGGTCATCCAGAAATGGAGCACGATTGAATCGCTACAGTCCTAGATATTTCTTTGCATCATCCGGAATTGTTTCAGGATTGACGTTCATGTCTATGAAGATGATCAGCGCCACGGCAATGCCTGACAAGACCAGGAGTGGCACTGAACGCCGCCAGATCACAAACCCGATGATAATCGCCAAACTCGTCATAGAGATCGCCTTCAATAATGTGTCCGGAGGTATCAGTGAACGGTGCGGTTTCGCTGAAATTTGCACCACCTTACAGCGAATGTCAATGCAATTATAACTACACTAACATTACTCACTAAAAAAGGATCCCTCTTGTTTCTATCTAATAGTCATGTTGAGGACCATGTTGAGGACAAAATTTCATGTCTATCTTATTTTTAACCAGTTGGATCGCCCAGCTGTCGCTGGGCGCTCCTCCTTCTATGCCGCAGCTTCGCCGGGCCGCCTGGCTTAGCCAGGCGCTCTGACCTCAGGCAAGCTAGAGTGGATGGAATACGTCAGATCGTCACAGGGGATTTTTCTTTCAGGAAAATGTTGTAAAAATAGGTTGTTAATTCACATCAGTCATCATTTGTGCACATCTGGTCCTCTCCTAGCTAATTCTCGACTTTTAACCAGGAAGAAGGCTGCATCACGTGTTTAATGACTGCAGTATGAGAAAGGGTCAATGTGGGGCAATCTGGATGAGTCGGGGCAACACTGTTACATTTGAGAGGCACAACCGTGGACTATGGCAAACTTAACTTTATTTTGTCTATTTCAAAATGTTCGTCACTGGGAGCCTGCACGGTGCTACCGAGCACAGACTGGACGTCCTCGCTATAAACCGTTGGTTTCCCTCCTCTCTTCCTTGGTTATTTTGCGACCTACATCAGGTAACACATCACTGCGCATCTCACAACTGGCAGATTTGAGCAAATTTTTGAATAGATGATTTTCACGATTTTTCCGTTTCAGGCGCACAAAATGAAACCACTCCCCTTCCGCTCGGCATCATTACATGCCCACGATGCATTAACGCCGTGATCGGTGCCGGCATGGGCCGTAACGAAAATGACATCTTATCATTTTTTTATCAATTGATATAATCACCTGTCATCCGTCATCAATGCATCTATGCAGTAAATCTCTACAACTTGATAGTGCAGAACAACGGCAACGGGCAACACGTCCCCTATTAGCCCCTGTCAGTTGTTGTCACTATATGTCCCCCACCGTCGATTTCCCCATCTCACCCACTATATCACCTGCTGGAACCAACGTTTCCCTGACGCAGTGACCCGGTGACTTTGCCCTTCTAGAGCCCTTTATCCTTATCAGCCGCTACCAGTTCGAGTTCGCTACCAAATAATGTTTTTGTCCCTTACACTGCATCATATCTTGGTAATCAACGCTCAAACGATGCTGTGATTCGGCGCTATCAATTTGGTGCCTTCCCCTCTAACGCCTCTTATCAAACGTTATCGGCAATTAGCAGTTCTTGTCACCCAATAATGATGTTCCTGCACTACACACTATATCATAGCTTGGAACTAACGCTCCACTGCTGTTGTGAGACGCACTATGGACTTGTTGACCCTCCTTTCTGACGCCTCTTATCAGATCTTATCAGCTGATATCATTCCTGTCACTTACCAATAATGTTCTTGTCCCATGCTCTATATCAAAGCTTGGAACCAAAGTCTCACTGCTAGCGAGCCACCAAAAACTCGATTCCCTCTGTGCCATTCGGGGAAAATGATCCGAAGGACTTATTATACTTTCAAAACGCATCTTACCGTTGAACCGAACGCGGGAATATTTTGCTAATCATCTACTGATCCTTCTGTGCGGGCACCAAGTACTTGACTCAAGGCTGATGTTCAATCATGTTTCCTGCAAAGACAGGGCATGTGAAGGTGGCGTGGTTTGGAGCGCCGCCAGGGCAGATTTGCCACCAACTGTAGTTGGCTCTAGATGACATCTGGAAAAAAATAGCCTTGGTGCGCTCCGATCCGCGCCGTGTCACACTCCCTATCGTTTGCAGTGATCATGATTGCAGCTGAAAGATATAACCAAGACGTTTGCTGTGCAAGCAGATAGGATCGAGTAGTTCAGAAAGTTTCACAACCATATTATGTTTTGATGCTTGTTCTTCAGTACTGACTGGCTCCTGTCATGACCCATTCCCAGCGATGGGATTTTCCTAACAATGTTGTACACTGTTCCTGAAGCGCTTCCCTCCAGAGGAAATTTCGGACTCATTTTCTCACAATATGACAGTTATGCTAAAACATTAATGGTTAAACAGCGAAACTGCAGCGAAGTGAACAGCATAGTGTTTCACATCACATAAGGTCAATTTAGGACCTAAACCTCTGTGAAATTCTCACCCATGGAAATCCACGGTGAAAACTCAATTCGATCAACCTCTCGTAACAAGACCAAGAAACGTAAGGGTATTAATCTGCATAGTTCAATTGCAAATTGCAATCCCTTTACCGACAGCTCAAATCTTGCAGGTGCGGGCAGCTAATTGAGCAGATTCTCAGTATACACAGCATTTTTCCAATAAATACAGAAAGTCCATTAATATAAGTACATTTAATATAATACAAGATGTGAGGCTGCTCACCTTCAACATCTACTACACATTTTCCTCCTTCTCTCTTATATCCATGGACACATGAGCACTTGTATGCACCAGGTGTATTGATGCATTCCTCGTGCGGCTTAGGACATCTGTTTTCAGTTTCGCACTCATTTATGTCTGAATAAAAACAGCAGCAATACTGCAGCTGAATCTGACAAAATAACACGTACTAATGAGAAGTTTCCATACCTACACATCCTTCCTCAGGAGAGTTAAACCAACCGCCTTTGCATCGTACACAATCCTTTGGACCAGGCCCTGTGCATCCGCCAGAGCACGCTTCGAAACATTCTGCAGAACTATAAGTTCCGTGTGAGCAATGAATTTTCTTTTAACCATTCAAAAAGTGACTATTGATTTTAAGTGAGTGAATATACCGACTGATGTAAAGTGTATCCCGAAAGCGTAGTGGTATTCTTCAAAAACGAGTGTTTCTTTTATTATGAGTGTTGTGCTAGGAGAACGAACTCTGATAAAGCTTGATACTGCGCACCTCTTTTGAAGAATACCACTACGCTTTCGGGATACACTTTACATCAGTCG